CTCCCTCAGGAACTCTCCAGCCCCTTCCCAGCTCCCTCAGGAACTCTCCAGCCCCTTCCCAGCTCCTCAGGAACTCTCCATTCCCTTCCCAGCTCCGTTCCCTGCCCTGGACACGCTCCAGCCCCTCCAGGTCTCTCCTGCAGGACCAGAACTGGGCACAGGAGACAAATCTGAACCAGCCATGGGTTCTGAGTGCCCTTTTCTGGCTGACTCCACCTTGAAAATATATTCCTTGCAATAGCTGAGCTTGAAGGTGATGAAAGCCTCATTTGCTCAACAAAATTCCACATCTAAACATGAGTGGCACAATTTCCTGGCTAGTTTGAGGTGAAATTAGGTTTTCCTGTTGTTATTTTGGTTTCCTGAAGCAGTGAGAGCAGTGACAACCTTAGGCCCACACCCACCTGAGCTGCAGGAGGGCAAATCCTGACACCAGAGATGAAACCACAGCTCCTGCAGAGCTGCTGGCTTCTCCCTTTTATTGCTACACCCCTGAGCCTCCTTTTCTCCAGGCTTCACTCAGGAATTCTCCAGCCCCTTCCCAGCTCCGTTCCCTGCCCTGGACACGCTCCAGCCCCTCCAGGTCTCTCCTGCAGGACCAGAACTGGGCACAGCCCTCGAGGTGTGGCCTCAGCAGTGCCCAGCACAGAGGGACAATCCCTGCCCAGTATGATCTATCTGCATATTTCTTCAAGGCTTCTAAAAATGTAACTTGAAAAATTCTTGGATCTTAGCAAAAAAATTATCAAAATTAATTTTTATTACCACAGTCACTTTCAGTGCATATGCATCAGTTCATATTTAGGATTCAGATCTAGTTAATGAAAAATGTGCAAGGAATAATTTTCAGGAGTAGGGCCAAAGGCCTCAGCTCCTGCTTTGTGCCAGTGGTGACACCAAAGTCCAACACAGAAGGTAAATACCCACAGATTTTCCCTGGTTACTTCACAAGCCCTGAATGACACCTCAGTTGCATCAGGAAGACAAACCAAACTTTACCTGCACATGTCACACTGAGTTCAGATCTTAGGAGGGTATCTAAATAGTGATTTCTCATTTTGTGTTTTAAAGACATGACAGATATAATCCCACATATCTCGCACACTCTGAACTTGCATGAATTTATATATGGATAAATAAATACCTAATATGTGTCCTAGCCATGTTGTTGGGTCTTTTTTGCAGAATCCTCATTTCACACTCTGTAGTTTATTCTCCTTTGTTTTAGCTTTGAGGATATTGCTCCAGTTTTTATGAATAGAGTTATTTAGGAACAGCCCTAAGCTGCAGACTAAAGGACTTTGTAAATGGATAAAGCAAACCAGCTTACCAGTTATTTACAACTATTTACTTGTGATTCCTGTAATGGCTTCTTGAAGAGGTAGGTGATTTATCTCTTGGGGAATTTGAAACCATCCAACTGAAAATACTCCATATGGGACCTAATTTAGTTGATATAATCATATAATCACAGAATGGTTTGGCTTGGAATGGACCTTAAAGATAATCCAATTTCAACTTCCCTGCCATGGCAGGGGCACCTCCCACTGTCCCAGGCTGCTCCAGCCCCAGTGTCCAACCTGGCCCTGGGCACTGCCAGGGATCCAGGGGCAGCCACAGCTGCTCTGGGCACCCTGTGCCAGGCTCCCACCACCCTTACAGAGGAAAATCTTTTCTAGTATCTAATCTAACCCTACTCTCTCAGTCTGAAGCCATTCCCCTTTGTACTTTACAGGTGGGGGATTTTTTTGTTTGTAGGGTTCTTTATTCATTTCGGATTAAGGAAAAAAAATTGCTCCCTGGCAGCAGTGGAGTTAAAATTATTTCCAGTTATATCACCAGGAGTTATTGGCACTACTCTCAGACACTCTTATAATGCCAGACAAGGAAATGATAAATACTCCTTTGTCTAGAACACAAACTACTCATCTATCCACAGATTAACCCTCTAACCACAAAACATGATCCAAAATCTGCTCTCTTCCCTTCTGGAGGCACTCGTGGGTGTCACCATGCCAGATGCTGGGGAAGAGACTGCAGGAATAAAAAATAATGCCCCAGTACTCAGCAGAACTAAATCCAAGAGTACCCACATCTGATTTAATCTCTGCTGGGCAGGACTCGCTGGATATTAAATGAGTTTGAGATTCTTAGCTGAGAAGAATCTTGTAATAAAGGAGCTGCTCATTTCCTGAAGATTTCTGATTTGGTAGAATATGGTAATTTTAGAAATGTATTACAATCTGGCTAAACAAGCTAACACATGGGATTTGCAGAGAGGAAGTATTTTCAAATAAGTCACTACCATATATGCTTGGAACCATTACTTGAAGTTTGATGTCCATGCCATTTTAATTAATAATTTTGAAACAACAACAAAAAAAAACCCCACCCAAAGTCACAAACATTGTGGACTATTTACCTGCTAATTCTTTCATTCATCCACGCTGCTCCTACATTACAAATGTGTAATAAAAATCCCCACACTGGTAAGAACTAGTAAACATTTTTCTTAATTTGCATAAACAAGAAACCCCAAACAAATACAAAGGCCAGGGACTTTCCCTGGCCAAGAACTGGTTAAATAGTTTGAAACTATGCTCAAGATTTCCTGAAAACGCATTTGTCTTTCAGCCAAACAATACTGTTAAAGCAATGTAAATGCTTTGCTTCCAAAATGTGCTTTTTCTGTTCACAGAGAGCAGCAGTGTAAAAATAAATCATCCATGAAGCATATTCTCATTTTTAATTTCATCCCTTGATAGAGCAATTGCTTCAAAATCCCTTAACAACCAAGGAAAGAAAAGTTCACAGGGTTCACATGTTAAAGATTGTCAATTGTACAGACCCAGTGCTGCTAATCCTTGGGCAGGTTATGGGCAGCTTCTGTCAAGACCTGAAAAACTGGATTTTATTAACACCATGAGTCTTTTTGGGTATCTACAAGGTTGGAAAGGCATTCCCCTGCCTTCTCACACCTTGCTTTTCTCTGGCAAAACCAACCGTGATCACTCAACAAGTCCTAAAGTACTAAGTCAAAGGAAAGGAACGGATTTTGTATTTCCAGGTGACAGGAATGAACAAATTAGCCGATTTGGGCAATGACTGAAAAGCACATTTCAATTCAGAAATGCCAATTTCACTGCATTTTGCACTGGGCCATCACTGTAGGACTTGAAAATTAAACAAGCCAGAAGGACTTTGAAGGAGTTTAGCATGCCAAGGGCAGGGGAGGGGGGAAGGAATCCACGCTGAGTTTGAGTTTGGCAAAATGAACCTGCTGCTGTCCTCAGCTCTGCTGCAGGGTGAAGAGCAAAGTGCATCCAGCTGATGGGGGGTGTTTGCACACCACAGTAAAACGTGCACGTTCATGGATATGCTGTTTGCAGGAGGTGGTGAGAGTTTGAATTTATTATTAGGAAACCAAAACATTTCACTTAATTGTTTGACATGCGAGATTTTCATGAGGGAACGAAGGTTAGTTACATTTCCAACAGGATTTCAAAGCTACATTTTGCCTTTTCAACTCTAAGCCAAATGTAAGGCTGAAAGGTTGAAGAGACTTATCAAAGGAACAGAAGTCAGAAAGACAATAACAATACAGTACCTAAAGATGGGTAATTCACACATTTTTGACATTTGTGTCTTGCATAGACAAATACTTAATTCATTTTTTTCTCCCAAGACGACTCAACTTCAGAAAATAAAATGCTAAATCAACTTTAATTACAATTAAATGCATGTGTTCCAATTTTTCAAAACACAGGGTGTTCTGGATTTTTATTTGTTGAAGTGCAACTATCATCCCTTGGAAAGGCTCTGTTTTCTCCCGTGGGCTGCCAAGTTCCTAAAGTTAGGAAGGTGGATTTGTGATTCTTCCAGAAACAAATCCATGTATTATTTCACAGAACACTGAGGTGGAAGAGATCATAACGAGTCCAGCTCCCCAGGGAATGGCCCAGGGGGATCAGAGCTGTGCCCTGGGTGTCACTGGCACCTCTGAGCAGCTCAGCTCAGGCCAGGAGCTGGGGCTTGAGCCACGTGTGCTCCTATTCCACTCCAACATCCATAAACCTAAAGCTACTTTGGAAGCACAGGAACTGGGAACTGCAATTCCTCACCGTGGCTCTGGCTGCATTTTGAACATCAAAAATAAAAAAAATTTGTTGCGCGCCAGGTTGCCATGAAATCCTGCCCTGCCAAACCCTTCATCCATACCCAGGTTTCCACTGGAAGAAGACCCAGGTGTGCAGGCAAGGCTCCAAAAGATTCCTGACAGAGATCAGGAACCAGCAAAAGGCAAATGCAGCCTGACATGGATCTCTGGAGCTTCCCTGAGGTCAGCAGGACTCCACTGGGACACAAAATCCAGATGGAGAAAACCTTCTGCAGAGCCAGAGTTGATTCTGAGTATTTTCTGACGTGATTATTTCTTTGTAACAGTCATTCAGAAACTTATCCTGATCGTTCTGGGATTGATTTACTGAACTGCAATGCTTCCAAAGTTAAAAAAAAAAAAAAAAAAAAAAAAAAAAACCAGAAAATTGCCTTGCCTGTTCCAGGAATATTGAAAAAATTGGACTGAAAAACCTGGTTTGGGTTAGATTGAAAAAAAAAAAAAATAAAAATAAAAGTTTAAATGATCGCATTTGCAGAAGAATCACATTGATTCAAAAACCAAATTAGTTCAACTGCACATGAATATGAGTTTAATTGGAGGCAGGGGGAGTTATACACAGACTTGAAGTCAGGTCCCCTGGAAAGACTTTTTAACTAATGTAAACATGTACCTTTCCTCAATGGTGATGCTTTCCTGAAACCAGCAATCTTTCCTACACAGGGGAAAAAAAAAGGACTCTATTTGTTTTTTCTTCTTTTAAATCATGAAAAGAACAAGCACTTCCCGGCAGTTCACACCCACTACAGAATTCTCACTGAATTGAAAGAAAATATTTGAGTTTCACATGTTAAGCAATACTTTTACACTGGTAAAGCCTTTCCAGTTTTAGGAATTCAAGTCCTTATATTTTTTTAATGTTTCTAATCTGACAGTAGAACTATTCCATATTCCCCTTTCACAGTAAACTCTGTCAACTTCAGTCTCCAGGAATTGATAAAGTAGCTGAAGACAAGGTCATGTTTTGGAAGAATAGAATTTCTGCTGCATGTAAGGTGAGGAAAAAAATAAAAAAAAAAAAAAAGCTAACTAGAAAATGGCTTCTTTCTGAAAAATAAACTTTCAGAAGTTTGCAAACCCTGAGGCCTGGTTGTATCCAATAAAAACCCCAAACAAACCAACAAATATAACCTGCTATTGAATGGAAATTGTGGGAGTAATGAAGCACTCTTGGAGTTAAAAACAAAAACAAAAATAGAGAATCTGAGTTCCAGTAATCTGAGCTATCTTCTGTAGGGGCAGTAGGCTGAATGCTTCCAAAGGAGCAGGATTTGTACATGGTTTGTCTTTTAAAGTGTTTTAGGGTCAAACTGGATTTGACAGCAGCCTTTGAGATAGCCATGCTATGTCAAAGCCCTCCTAATTCATCTTTCATTATTCATTTACTGTGCTTTTAACAAACATGGCACATCAGTGGCAAAGCAGAGAAGTCAGAAATAAACAAATTCTTAGAAATCACCAGTCCAGTGGAGCAGTTCATGACAGCACTTGAACTAAGGAAGATCCTCAGCCAGGACTCAGTGAGAGCCAGAGCAGAAACACCTCTTTTGTTGAGTAAAAACCATTAAAAAAAACCAACTCCCAGACACTGCAAACTCCTGTTATTCTCCACGTGTGTATGGCAATGCCACTGATATTTCTTCCTGAAGCTTTTCTTCCTACCAACTGAACCTTGCCTTGGAAGACAATCTGCCATGAGCAGCTTCCAGCCTCTTCAGCATGTCCAGCAGCACATTCCTTCATCCTCCTGAAATCAAGGGGACCTCAGCATGTGCCTGAGTGTTCTGAGAAGCAGAAATTAATTATTCCATTAAATATTTGCATCTGCCAAAGGGCTTTGTTCAAATACAGTGTCTGAAGATTCTAAAGGTGACCACCTTTCTCCTTGTCACGTTAGAAACACACTCAGATTTGGTCAAAATCAGAAGGAAATTCTGGCTCTGATCTAAGCCAACACTGTGACAAATTGACAGGGACAAAAGAGGGTGTTCATCATACCATGAGGCTCTTGAGTCTCTTATTTGTACTTAACAAAGGGAAATACAAAGTTTCCAAAAGCAAGTGTTCATGGATAGACAATCACAGACTTCAAACTTCGGGAAAATGAAAGAAATGAACTGTTACCACAACAAAACAAAACAAAAAAAAATCCCAAAACAAAATCAAACCAAAACCCAGCTGTTTTTATCACCAGCTCTTTGTTTTTTAAATGACACACAAGGATTTCCTACTCTAACAAAGCCTGCTGTATATTCTGGTAGTAAACTTCAGATCTGAAGAAATTTGATATAAATTCATGTTATATTTTTCTTTTTGTATTAGGGGAAAATATTTCAAATGCAATAAAATAGCAGAATTCATGACTGTATAGTAGGCAACTTTCATTTTTTTAGATTCAGTTGTACAAACTATAAAATGTTAAATTTCTCTAATAATTGGAAAAGTTGTGGGTGTTTGAACTTACTTACCTGAATACTCATTTAGCAAATATTTTCAGATACAAGTCTAGATACAGAGTTATGCAATTTGAATATTAGTTTACACATAATATAAATCAATGTTTGACATTATCAAAATCCCATCAAACAGTGGGCCCTTCTTATGCTATTATCAAATATAGTATATCACTGTGGGATAGCTGAGAATCATAGAATGCTACTGTAGGCTTGTTTATTAAATTGGGTCAATTTTCAGACCTTCCAAATAGGAATACTAAACATTTATTTTTCCCCTCTGGAAATTTTTTTTTCCTCCTGCTTAATACAGTTGTCATCCCAATTTCTAGTGAATTTATAAAAATATTTTTTTTTTTTATCCAATAACCCCAGCAAGGTAAAAATAGGAGTTTTTATAGCAAATGATAAACAGGCTCACGGACTATGAGAGAAACTAAACTTATTTAAATTGCCATACATTCTCTACTGAATCACACATCAACAGTTTCTTTTTATGTGTGTTGCTGTCCACCTCAGACTAGCAGTTTTTAAGGTGCAGAAGCATCTTTCAAATATATGCATCTAACTCAATAATCAAGTTTCACACACTAGTGTCACATGCTTTAAATTTACATCACCTGCTCATCAAAAGCTGTGTTAAATAACAGCACTAATTGAAACTGCATAATTCATCAGAAACTGCAGCACTTCCAATTCAGAGAACAAAGGGGTGCTTACGTGGTTCTTTATATTACTAGATATAATTTTCTGAAATAAGGAAAGGAAAATAAACAAAAAAAACCAACAACAAAAAAAAAAGCAAAACACATTTGAAAGAAGTTGCTGCACCTGCAAAAACACTCTTTAAGCTTACTATGAAATACAAAAAAGTGCACCCTTCTATATCTACATATAAAACATATTAGAAATAAAACTTGTGTAAAATGTTTGCTGTGCAAACTATAAAAAGTCAGTCAGTCAGTCCATTCTTGTTCCTAAGTGTTTTTCTCCAGGCTCTCTGCCTTCCTACTGCAGAGAGTCGCTGTTATCCAGGACCAGCCCACTGATATTTGCTGTCGAGAGGTCTCCGCCGTCGTCCTCGCCGCTGTCCACGGACTCGTCCTCGCTCTGCCCTGCCATCATCACCTGCTGCACAGCCAGGGTGGCACCATCTGAGGACAAGGACTGCAGGCTGTCTACATTCATGTTCACTGGAGCTGTGATGGTCACGACAGCACCTGCAGGAGCACAACCACAGCACTTCAGCACCTTTCTTGCCTTCTGCTTGTACCTAACGGAGCTTTTTTCTAATCAAGTTACCCCAGTACAGTTGTTTCTAATCAACCCACCACAGAAACTTAAGGAACTACATTAAAAGATATATAGGCTGTCAAATACTTAAATGTCGGGAAATGCCAGAATTAGGTTGGTCAGGAATCTTAAACTTTGTGTTGTGAATCTTAAATCTGCCTTATGGACACCCACTACCGCAGCTCTCCAATCAAGTCATCACAAGGCCATTTCTGCAAAGTATTCCAGCTTAATTCATTGCAGAAAAAGGGGAGTGTTCAGATTCAAGGTAGCTTCAATGCAAAAAGTTGTTGTCAGATCCAGCAGAGGCTGAAAGAAAATTTGTTACAAACTGGAAAGAATAAAGCACCAAGCAGCAGGACAGAAAGGATGATCCTGGCATTAAAGCAGTTACTTAGCTTTCTTAAATAAAATCTTTTTGTTTCATCTGACACTGAGGAAGTTACTTCAGTCAAAATCTGTGGAGGCTCTATGACATTTTCCTGCCTCTCATTGTTCAACTGGAAGCACATGGGGCAGATGTGGAATTGCAGCTGCTCAGCCATGAAGCTGAAGCTGAGTGCTGCTCATCCAACAGGAGACTCCTGACGTGCACAAAGAGAGAACGCAGCTGTACATCTCAGTTTTACATCTTTTATTCTGTCATTTCATAACTTTGGAAACAGAAGCAAGTTTCTTAACATGAATTCCATTACAATACCCTTGCTTAAACCACAGAAAACTGTTAGACAGGAAAAAAGTGACACATTTCTGTTATGCTTTCCCAGATTAAAACCACGTTTATAATGAAATATCCAGAAGTTCCCCCTCCCACCATAGTCATCAAACCCTCCCTCTCCCTGTCAGAGAGGAATTAACTTTATTATCCATGTTCAGGCAGCTCTCCTCACCATCTGACATCGTGAGCTCGTTCGATTGCTGCTGAGCAACTCCTGAGGCAATGGAGTCAGGCCAGAACCTCTGCACTGGTCTGTTCTGGGCTGTTTTCTTCTTTGTTTTTGGAGTTTCAGAACAACTGGAATCCAGCATTGGCTGAAGAATTCGCCTTCTAGCATTGATAAACCTAAATACAATTGAGGGCAGGGTGAACTTAGGGCCAGTTGGCTGTAAATTCCATCTCTCTCACATTCACAAAGTATGCAGCAGGAAAAAAAATTAAGAATATTAAATCTTCTATCAGCTGGGCTTCCCATTCTTTTTAAAGTGTAGAACCACTCCTAGAACACCAGCATCTTCAATTTTGGCAACGTAGCTAAGAAAGCACTTCTATCATTTTGCAACTAACAGCATTTTTCCCCCACCTCAGAAGGAAAAATTCTCCAGACAGCACAACAGATGTACACTTCAGGATCTTATTAAAAACTAAGCACCAGAAAACCTGCTGACAGCCCAGCTCAGAAAGCTGATACTCCTCTCATTAAGGTTCACCTAAAGTCTAGCCCCTGCCTAACATGCTTTGTTTGGTCTGGTTTCATTTACTCCCTTAAGCTTCTGCATTACTTATTTTACAGGCTCCCTGGCTTTCCAAGGGTTGGCTCCTGATCCAGGAGATGACAGCAAACACATTTTTCAGATGTGTCCTGATTCCTTTTAGTTCTCTGAATTTCACTTGCTTACTTTAGCATGCTAATGGCTGCACTTCCCCTTTCTGCTAGTGAACAAGGAAATACTTAAATGGAATCAACTTCAACATAGTGAAGGGAGTTGTGACTGAAGACATCATTTCTAAATATCAAAAACACATCCAGCTCCCAAGTTTACCTGCAATGGGAGGAAATCAGGTGCAGCTGGCAGGTTCCTAAGCTGTAATACAATGCTCTGCAAAGATAGCAGTCAGATCCCAGCACAGAGCTCCATGGCCACATGTCACACAGGCACAGTCACTCTGTTCCACTTTTGGAACCAGTGTTCTGTCACTATCCTGACTATTTCCCCCCTGGACCCCTCCACAACCTCACAGCCAGTGTCATCTTTGAAATCTGAGGCAGATCCCAGTGGGACTTTGCTGCAGCAATTTTAGGAACTGATGGCACAACTGATGCCATAGGACACGTGGCAGCACCTTCCCTCCTCTCTTCTGCAGGGCAGGTGTCTTATCTTACACCTCCAGGAAAGATAAGACATGACAAAACCTGCTGAAGCATGAACTGGTGTAGCTGAGGAACTGCCTGTCCATTCAGACATCAGTGCTCAGGAGAGCATCCTTTGATACAAGAACAGAATCTGTTAACAGCAACTTCTTAAACATCTGCAGCCTCCAGGCCACCAAATGCCTTCAGATTTCAACTTCTTTACTTGCAGAAGAGAGATGAGAGTACTTCCACCTCTCTCAGCACTGGAACAGGACACAATTCTTAATGCTGCAATGTTTTCTCGACTCCTTATATAATTTAAACGACATGAGTATTATTATACTTTATAAAAATAACATGCTTGTGTGCCAGTGCATAGTTCTTGTATTTCTATACATGTTTTGTAACATATGTAGAATATTTACGTTCAACTCCAGATGTCCACGTTATCCTTCTCATTATTTCTGAGCTGTAAGCACATGGAGGCAAGGACAGATATTAAGTTAAGGGCTTTGCTCTTACCAATTGTTAACTTGGAGTAGTGTCAGATTTGTTTGTGCTGCAATCTGCTTCTTCTCATCCTCTGTTGGATATGGATGCTACAGAGGCCAGAAAAGCAAACAAAAAAGGCATAAGCTTGTTTTTCATCTCCTCATCAAAAATAAGAACTCCTTGATTATATCTGATTAAAAAGGGTGGATTAAGGCCACCTGACTCATGAAAACACAAACATTAGAAACCTCACAAACTTCTATAGACAAAAATAATTAAACAAAGAGTGCTTTACTACACAAAAACTGATTTTATCCTTGAGAGTGTCTGTGGCACCATGAAGCTGCTGCTGTGTAATTCAGAAGAAAAAGCTTCTCATGGCTGACAGTCTTTATTAAAGAGCGTGATCCCTGGGCAGCACAGCATGTGAGCAGCTCTGATTAGTTCTGCTGGCCAGGGCAGTGTCATATGAGAGAACTGAGGAGCACTCAGTTAAATAAAGGAGCTCTGGAGTTAAATAAAGCTGCTCTAAGCAGATGAGGACAGGGCACGTAACACAAGAAGTGCACATGCAGCTTCCCTGGATCAGTTCTCTGCTGCAAACCAGTTGTAAAAGGCAAAATATCAATCAATTCAATGTTGTAATAGCTTGAGAGCCATTTATCCTTTCAAAGGATTCATGCAAAGGGAAGACAGTTGGAAGCACAAGCAGATAGTGACACGCTTGGTACACATCAGAAGGATTGGAAAGCAGATAAAGACAGAAAATGTGAAATTTTCCATGGTCAAAAATACCCCTAAAACACTGCAAAATACAGGTGGAATTACTTTTCCTTGTGCCATGAACCAGGGTGTAGAGAGCATTAAGTTCTCAACACAGTGAAATGAAGAAAGGCTCCTTGTAACAGCACTTATTTAGACTGTGCAGTACAAATGTAACATATTTATTAAAATATTAATAAAAGTCAACCAGCATTAGACTGTGGAACTACTCCAAATGACTCCAGGGAAAGCTGAACTGAGGTTCCATAACTGACAACAGAATAAATTCACCTTGTTTATGAAGAAAAATTTTAAGAGACCACACAAAAGAGCTACATAAAAAACAGACCATGCTCAGTCCTTACCCCTATGTGCTGAAAAAGCCAAGATCTCATCACATTTGTAGCGTGCTTGGGAAGAACTCCTCTCTTATTTTTTGATGAGCCATCATCTTGATGCAAGATGCCTAGATCTTGGTTTAATTGCAACTGGAGCTGCACATTTAATTTTAGGAGAAATAAAGCAGTTAACATAGTCATGGCAGTTCTGTATCAATAAATGAACAACTCATTTACAGAAGGAATAAAAGGAAATTAGGCTTGAATGTCTAGAATATACTCACTGTGTGCAAGCATAAACAACTATGGGACGTATTACTGATATAAGATTTAAATAAAGGATAAAGTAAAATTAATTATTATGCTGCAGTTGCAAACAAAGATGCTAAAGATCCTGCTAAATAAATGCATTAAATGCTCAAAGAGCATTAAGATCCATACAGCAGAACCTATAATTCACCACATTCATACTACTTCCTAAATATTCCTATTTCTTTCTCTTTGTTTTTCACTTCCTATGGATCCATCAAATCATTTGTACATTGGTTATCTGAATGTTGGGGAATACATTCTTAAATGCTTATGCAGAAATAGACAGAAACAGCACAATTTATGTGCTGTCATATAAGATTATATTTCAGACAATTGTAACCAAAATCAGGTTTTCCAGACAAATTGGAGCAATTTCTTAAGCTAATCAATATGTAGGAAATTAGTTTTAAACAAGGTTTAGGCTATCAAATTTCTACAAATGTGTATTTGGAGAATATTTTAATTTCCCAAGTAATGTCTTGCATTTTAAATAACCTGCTTGCATATGGAGGCTTTATAATGAACTTTCAATATCTTTTCTACAGTGATTTTTCCCTACCTCCACAGCATTCTGAAAACCTGAAAAAGAAGACACTGAAGAAAGATTTTCAATTTGTGACCTTTGCATAGGTGGGTTTGGAGATTCCCACTAATATCAAAAGTAGTCACAGATGTATACAGAAGGTCATTTTATTTTTTATTTATAGGCTAGAGGCATTATTTTCCTCTCAGTATTTTAGGTTTTTTGCATAAAAGGTAAAAAAACCACCCAATTTTTCAAAATCCCTTCAGTCCAGGAGAGTAATTTAACACATTTATTTCTGAGAGGTGTGTGAGGACAGAGCTGTCTGTGTTCTAAGGGGAACATGACTGAGTACAGATTTGCTCCTGCCAATTCAAAGAACACTCTGTGCACACTTTTTTGGTTGGAAGGCCAGAATAAGGGGGAAAAGAAACCAGTGAGTCAGTGATTACCAACAGATTTTATGCTGTGGAGATGGGAACTCCTCATTCACATTTCTAATTACATCCAGATTCCAGGAAGATTTGGTTTTCCACTTCCAGAGAAAGCTAGCAAGGCTTTCTGCACCACAAGATGGTCTCGTTTTCATGTTTGTTTTTCTTCAGTTGTTTCATTGAACTCTTCAGATCTAACTCTTAAGAGCCTCCCACAAAAGAGTGCAGGCCTTCATATTTTAGGGTACAAGGAGACAAAACTGAGGAATCTCCCAGAGTCTTAGTTGAAGGTTTTATAGAAAAATGCTTCTCCGAATAGATAAACTCTGAAATATATATATTTTCACAATTGCATTGGTTGCTATTGTAATAAAAAGTCAAATTTCTCACAATAGAAGTATGGTACCTTAATGTAATACATTAAATCTATCCAGCCATAAACAAAGTTAAATTATTAGAAAAGTTTTAATAATTGAAAAAGCATTCATTTGATTCAGAGGGGTTTTTAGTTTGTATTGGTGTGGGTTTTTTTTGTTGTTGTTGTTGTTATTTTGTTTTGTTGTTGATTGAGTTTAGAGGTGGGTTTTTTTATTTTAGTTTGTGGTTTGTTTTTATTTTTTAATTTCACATAACTATAACTCTTCTGGCATCAGTAAAGGAAGACAATTAAAAGGCAGGAACTCTGATGAGCTCTTGTGGCAGGGGGGACATCGTGACATATCCTACAACTTGTACCTCCCACAGCTGTGGCTGCACCAATTTACAATTAATTACTCTGTGTGTACACAGAGCTTGTTTTGCCAGTGTGAGAAATTTAAATCAAAACTCCTAAACCCACTGAGATGTATTTCCAGCCAGAACATCATTCTGTGGAATTTATGGAACAAACCTGAGAGTTCTGGATCCGAATAGTCCCAGGTGACAGTGCCTGTGTCACCACTTGTCCTTGTGGAGTGACCACAGTGACTGGCTGATACACTGTCCCCCCTTGAAGCAAAACAGAAACACAGATTATGGGGAAGAAAAAGCCCTTCAAGTATTACTCTCTTTAAACACATCAGCACTGCACACCACACCAGACTTTTAATAATCTATCAATTACTCTTTTCTAGTCAGCATGCAAGATGTGCTCTTTGCTACACTAAAATCTTCATCCATTCACAAAAAACTGTACAAATTTTGATTCTATTTCCCTGTATTTTAGGCATTCTAAATCTATTTTCAAAGGAAAATGCCATTATTATCAGGCTATAAAACAGTTCTTCATGTTGTTTTAACTGAGCTAAGTCTTCAACCAACGAAGGTCACAACACCAAAATCACACCTCAGTGTGGCCAGTTCTTGGGGCAGCTGGGTTTGATTTAAAACCTTGCTGAGAGGCAAGCCTAAACACTTCATGTCAAATGTAATTTCCATATAACAAGGACATCAAGGATTTTACAGATTTGTAGATGTGGTTCCAAACTCCAAGGAGCATAAGGCAGACAACAAGTACAATGGTTTAGGTAATGCATTTTTTGTCAAATAGAATTCTTCTTTTTAAAGGCAAAAAAAAAAGTCAAACACCATAGTCTATGAAAATTTAGCAAGTGTAGTGTTGCACATTAAGATTTCTTAATATTATATATGTAACTGCCACTCCCACAGACATATTTGGAAAACACATAAATTAAACAAACCTTCATAAGCCAGTAAAGCACTTGACTGTACTACAGTAACTTTTCAGTTGTTAAAACATACTTTTTATTATTAAAACACACTTTTTCAAATATTTGTGTATTTTTTGTAACAAGCATAAAGGAAACCAAGATAAAGAGCAAGGTGCCAGTTGTTTTTAGTGTGTCATACCTGCTACTGTTGCCATAGTTACATTTCCCTGCTGCAATGCTGATGCTGGCACCACGATCCCTTGAGGACTGAGTGTGCCTGCAATGGCACTTGGAATTTGCTAGAAAAATAAAACAGTTAGTTGCTTACATTTTTTAACCTTTTGTTTTTTCATGTAAGGAGATCAAGCATGCTTGTGCATTTTTGTAATTTGTTTTAGGTATTTTTTGCTCTAAAATACGTTTGGAGTTTAATCACAGGATTACCTTCAAAGAGAAAGATACTTCATTAGGGGTTCATCATTACCTACATTAACTTCCTTATTATCACCAACCATTACCTTTGAAAACCCTCATGAAAGCAACTGCTAGAGAAGATGTGAAACAATTTTGAGACGTTTTAGTTCTAGGTATATAAAGAATAAGAAAGTTTCCAAAGGCAAGAGGGAAAAAGAACAAATGAAATGACCCTTGATGCTCTTATTACAAGCATCAAAGCTTCAGAATTTTAGTTATTACTTCAATTCCTTCAATTTGAACATAATGTATTAAATATTCAATATATTTTCTTCTGCTCAAGATAGCTCTTACTCAACCCTGAACATGCAAACTCTTACACATTTCCTTAGTATGTATCAATAATCTCTTTTGATAGCAAATGCAAAATGGGTCCCTCGTGTCTTTACAGAAAACCATAAAACATATACAGAAAAAAATCTTTTAAAATATGGTTTTTCCTGGTTCTAGAATCTCCTTTCCACACTTCCAGACATCAAAACCTATATAAGGAGTCCAGAAAGTGAAGTTTAAAAGTCATTGGGGCTTTTTTTAATACAGAGCATTAGACACATGAGTAATTCAGAGAAGGGCAATGCCCTCAGACACAGGATCAAGTGGGTACTGGGGTGGCAGGGCTCGCTCTGCAGCATCTGACAGCAAAACCACCAACTATAACCTATTGTGATCAATTTAACACAGAAAATGCAATATTGCAACTTTAATTCATCAGATATTGTCTATTTATTCCAGAATACAGATTGTGTGTGAAATGTATCAGTCATCTCAATGTTTTAATGAAGGAGGCAAACTAAAAAGGCCTTAACAAGCAAAATTTTTCTTCTTTGTTTATTCTGCTTCCTAATCTCCTTCCAACCAAATAGCAAATCCAGGCTATTCTGAATATCTCCACTTGGCTGAACTGAGAAAATCATAAAAGGAAGACAGACAATAAAAGAAATTGACTCTGTGCTCTAGCACATTTCAACAGATTTGTCCATCAGGCAGTGGCACCAAAAAGAAAAAAACCAAAACAAAACTTTTTCTACTCTAAATAACTGACTTGAGAGAATACAGGAAACTGCAGAAACTCTGTTTGCAAATTGATAGCATAGCTGTAACTTCCTAAGGAAATCTAAGCAAAATTCCACTGAACAACAGTATTTGAAACACACCTGAGATTGCACAGGTGAATAAGGACTTCCAGGCTCTCCACTTAATAGAGTTTCACTGTTCATTTTTGTCTTCAGGCAGGCAATGTAACGACTACAGAAATCCTTGCAGAGTTCATTAACCTTTTCTAGCTCCAGCAGATGGATACGCAGAACTTGGATTGCTTTTACCATCTGAGGGAGAGAATTGGGAAAAAAAATCAAAAACAAAATAACCGTTCTTTAAAAAATATCTATTTTATGTGAGATTTAAGCAAACACTGTTTTCCAGTAACAAAGATCACCCAATTAAGGCTAAAACTGCTAAATCCTGGAATGTGAAAGGAACAAAATGAAGCTGCCACACAGGGGAAGCAGAACAGGAGAACAAAGTGATTTTTGTCACGTGTGACACTTCAGGAAGACAGAGCAGCCCAGGTGTCACAGGGCACAGGATGAGCCTGGATGTCCATGTGGTCTTTAACCCCCTTGTACAACTCTGGGTCACAGACCACACAAGACTGGAAGTGATGGAAATCCCATCCACAGAAATGATCTGGAAAGCAGGGCTGGGACAGGCTTGGCCAGCAGCACTTCTCTGGAGCTCCATAAATCAGAAACAACACGTTCAGCTTCACTACACCTGACACCAGGAAACCAGAAGGGTTTGAGATACAGTGAGAAAGAAGACACTCCTGTGATTAAGCATAAATTTGTTCCAGAGATTGCTAGGGAGGATGAAAGCTTTTATTTTTCAATAAAATTAGAATAAAGAGGTCCCAAATTTAGTCACACTCTTCCACAAAGCTTAAAGTAATCAAACAGTTCTTCAGTGCTACAGCTTTTAAGGTACTCTGTGATTGTATGTCAAAGATGAACAACTCTCAGGTAAAATCTTCTAAGAGACTGATTTCTGAAATTCAAAACATTAAATACAAAGCACTACACCATTTTTTTTTTAAAAATCCATGTTTAAGCTAAAATCGAAGTAGAGGAGATATGTATGTGAGGAGAATACTTGTCATGTTCACTGTGAGAAAAACACTGTAAGCCTGGATAACCAATGGTATTACATGCTGCATAAAAATAGCTTAGGTGATTGTAAGGGTCATGGCAGAAGATCAGAAGCTAAAACTAAATCCAGATGGTCTAATAGCAGCAGGAAATCTAGGACATTCAACTATGTACACAACACACCAGAAAAGTAATGATTTTTTATACAACATGCCACCCCCAATGTTTCTGTGTTGTGCTGGATCTCTGAGACAAATATCCTTCAGCTTCATGAAACTGAACAGTTGCAATTTTGAAGCAGTGCAGAACTTAACTTTACAATTATTTGGAAAAATCTGTCCTGTATGAGGGGTTATTTACCTGGGCAGAGCACTGAATCCAGTGAACAGAAATTAGACCCTCCAAACTAATCTGTCTATTACTTCCAACTCAGGAAGCCAACTGGGAGCTGAGGATGCCTTTGCTCAACTCACCCAGAGGAGATCAAGGCAGGAAACCTTTAGTGTGCTCCCCATCATGACATTTTAGCTTTCATTGAGAAGAGTATTTTCCCTGTTTTTTCAGCCACTCCCATAGACATACTTGGAAAACACATAAATTAAGGTTCTAGGACACTCATTTGATGCAGAAAAAATATTCTTCTCAGGGATAAAATGAAAAAAAAAATACACCTTTCAAAAAACAGCTGCAGAAACACCTGAGCTGTTGATTTGAGGAAGTTGACCCAAATTAATATCTGGTAACTCTTTTGACCTCTGACACTGAAAGCCTTTGAAACACTGAATGCATTGACCCAACACTGAGACACAAACCAGTGATTTTCCAACCCAGCCTAGGTTGCTGTTTAAACTGTGCTTATGCACCTTTAAACACAACAAAGTTAAAGCAAGCAAATGTAACTAAATTTTAACACAAAACAAAGGTCGTCTGTTTTTCAAGAAATTCTGTCTCTGTTTCAGAGACAAAAAACCTTAAAATAGAAAATTCTTCATGTGTGAGTAATTAACAGATTGCACATCATATTAGTGTTTTAAACATTCAGCTAAAACTGAGGTAACAAAATATGCTTTTGGACACATAATATTTGACCATAATAGAGATTAGTTTATTTTTGCTCAGTCAAGAGAGTTGTTTTTTTTTAAACATTAGCCAAATTTGTATTGTTTATTTATCAGCATGTACTTGGAGGAAGAATGAAGGTCCTTTCTTCAGCTTAGACTTAGTTTAAAATTGATGGTTGATGCTTGAGGTGAAAATTGAATTAAAGTCAAAATCAACCACAAACCCAGACTCAGTAACACTGTCCAGGTTTCTGCAGGGCCCCTCTCCATCACACTACTCCTGCAGGAAGCTGTGCTGCTGTGGTTAGGAGGAAAACAAAACTTTGTAAATATGCCATGCCTGTCACCAGGACTTATTAATTCATTTACAGCCACATTAATTGTAGCCATGTGGCTCCTGCTCTCTTGCAGCACAGGTGGACCAAACTTAATGTCAGCAAAAGTTCACTTTTCCCTTAAAGCTACAAAAATCAAGATCTCCTGATAAAATAACTCAAGTTGGAGGAGTTAACTCAAGTTGGACAAAGGTATTACAATACAGGTCACAGCAGTAGTAATATTTCATTCAGTGCTACTGCATAGAATATGCCACAGAAAAATGACATTTTATAACTGATTCAGTCTTTTCAGCTGTAGCAATAAAACTGGAGTATCACTTCAGAGAAATGTATGAAGATAAAGTAACCATGAGATTTGTGTATATTCACACAATTCTAGAATGGTTTGGGTTGGAAGGGACCCTAAAGATCATCCTGTTCCAACCTCTGCCATGAGCAGGGACACCTTCCATTGCTGCTGAAATTGCTGTAAATAAAGATAATGGTAAACTATTAGAGAAAGAAAAGATATTTAAAAACTTCCAGTTCCTGCTATCAGGAGCCTATTCATATATAAATGTCTCCAAATTTAAGAAATTTAGGCTATTTTAGCTTAAATATGCTCTAGGTTGTGCCTGTGTCCTGCCTTCAGTGCCTCAAGCCCGTGGTGCCTCAGTCGTGATCCCCAGCTCAGCTGTGCTGATGTAAAACACAGTCACAGTTTTTTATGGATTTCAGAGCACATCATCTGCATGTGTGGGCAACATACATGAAAGAATCTCCATGTACTGACACATAATCTCACTCAAATGAGTCTTCATTTGAAAAAAAAAAATTAAAATGTATACATTTACAGCTTACCTACCCCCCTGACCTAAATCCTCCTGCAGCAATTTAGAACACAAACTCAGGGAGAAAAGCTATTTTGTTTTCATTTGTTTTGATTTTATAACCTCACTCCTCTATTTTGAGTCCTCAGCTATGAGACATAGCTAGAAAAGATGCAACTAGAGGTTTATGGGAAATTAAAACAGCAAAAACACTTTTCAGAAAGGCTTGGTCAGTCAATATTCAAATGACACCAGCTGGCTCCACCACTACAACTCAGGTTCCAGACATAACTAAGGGAATTCAAGAGAATTGAGAAGAGGGTACTGAACTAAAAATCCTTACCCCAAATGAAACAAAAATCTCAGGGGTCTTCAAAAAAGGCAGTGTCCTGTTCAATTACAAAAGGGAGAGTATATTTAACACCCCTTGTATTTTGTCTAGACTTGACAAAGCCATAAGTAACCTGCTCTGACTTCACAGCTGACTCTACTCTGTGTAGGAGGTTAGACTACAAACCTCCTGAGGTTGTAGTCCAGCCCAAACCATCCTATGGCCCTATGAATGTGGAGAAATTAAAAAAATCCACCCATGTGTGGGAAGAGTTTCTTCTGAACAGAAGCAACACGAGAGGCAGGAACCACCCTGAAGCAACCTGGTATTTCTGCAGTGTCTGGGTTAGCAGTGAGCAACAGAAAAGTGTTAAGCAATGAATGTCTTCAAACATAAAATAATCTGTGAAAGGTCTAAAAAAACTCTCTGCAAGCACCCATGCTGATAAACTTCTTAGACATGGGGGGTCTGTGGATGCCCTATGCACAAAATGAGACTAATGGCAAAGAGCAGTTGGTGCCTTGGTTCATTCCAGGATCTGATTTATCTGTAAAAATGAGGCAGAGATAGCAAAGGGCAAGGGGAACAGTGAGTGGAGCTCCAACAGATGATACTCCCAGTTATGTGGATAAACTGAGCACACCTGCAGAAAGCAGCAACAGAGACTACAAATATCTGGTTATTGACAGCCAACACACATCTTCTGACACTGATGCTTGGTAAGAGGACTAAGGGGATGCAAGTAATATTCCAAGAAGATATAGAGGAAGTTGAAGCTCTAGGAAAGCACATTTTCAGTCTAGTAAGAACATGAGCACAACCTTCAGCTTCCACTTCCTTTCCAAAGGATTTGAAAACAGGAGATCTGCAGGATGAACCACAGGGTCACCCCAGAGCACGTGGTCTAAGGATTGCACCCAGACCTGGGAAAGGCACTGAAGTAAAAAAGGCCTGGTAACAATTTTCCTGGATTGACTATGATCCTTTGCCCTGCTGATTCAAGATCACCAACTGATGTTGTTGGAGAATTTAACTGGGAAGAACACAACCCTAGACCAGAATCCCTCTATCTAGATAGTAACTAGGGTTTGAAAGTTGGTTTACAGGTAATTTAACAATTTATGAGTATTCTTAAAATTAACTTTCAGGTGGATTCTACCCACATTTCCCAAGGCTGAAATCCTTTTTAATACTAAAGCCCAAAGCCACCAATTAATTGAGAATGGGAACTATAATACAAAAGTAACAAGATAATCTAGACCATAGCTTAGTAAGAGCTACTCAAACTGGAACAAGCATCCACTGCTTTTAATGAACTTCCTTTCTGGTCAGACTGAGCTGATGCCTGTGCCACCCAGATTAACATTCTGTGGTCCTCTGGATGAACTCCAAACTCCTCTCATGGAGTATTCAAGGCACTTCAAGTGAGTGCACAATGTGGAATGTTGCCAGGACTGTAAGTGACCCTACAATCACTATCTGTGACCCTTCATAATTTCTGTTATCTACTTAATTAGCCCACAGGCAGCATAGAGCATGGAATTATATTCTGTTGCTTTGGAGCTGTCAGTTGAAGCTCTGTCACAGAAACTGCAGTCTGGCTGAGTTCTACATGCCACATCTCAAAGAGGTAAAAGGAAAAAAAAACTAAACAGCTGACCAATTTCCTTACTGTAACAGGCCTGTGACTCTCAGATAGGATTTGAATTTGGCTCTTTAGTGTTGTGATGCTCAGTTCATCTCGGTTCAGTTCTGGCCTCGTGTTGATCCTACTGAGCAAACATTTACATCTTATTTGTTTGACTCTGCTCCACCCTTCCAGCCCAGTCTAACTATCAATCTTAACAGCTTCTCCTTTCAGATGAATGGTTGAATTCACATTGGAGTTAAAAAGGGAAGGACAACATGAGTAGAAGATGGAACAAAGGTGCACCATAGTGTTTCTTGCTACTAAACAGACTTTTTAATCTCTATAAAAATATATATATGTGACAGGAGGCAGAAAAAACTGCCTATCTAGAGCCTTCCCTATGTCAAGCACCAATATTTCAAGCTGAAAAGAGACTGAAAGCCATGCTAGCCTGTTCACAATTTAAAAGAGAAGCTTGTGCTCACAGCCCCACACCAAATGAAGAGCCTGTCAGAAAGTCAGCTGTTGAGAGCTCCCAGCCTCCAGGACAGGCAGAGGACAAGCTGCACTCAGGTTTCATTTGGTATCCAGTAACAGAAAGTCACAGCTAACAATACGACCACAGGACGGGAGTTCAATGCCAAGGATTTTTGATTTTGCAACATGGTTCCAGTTTAAGCCACTACTGACCTCAGCAGCCATGGAATCGAGGACATAAACAAATAATTCCTCACCCACCTCAAGCAAAACCAGCCAGATTTGTGCAGCCCATCAGCAAAAGGGAACACCACATAAACTAAGAGACTTTGTCACTAGAACCACAAACTGAAACCATAAGCAAGTCAATGACACACCAGACCCAGCTACAACCAAAGCAAGCTGGATCTTGAGAGAGTGTTTATATGTGACCAAAAGCACAGGGAACAGGCCAAGGCAAGCAGGATCTTTGGGAAACCAATCTTTGGAAGCTCACAGAAGCCACAGAATAGCTGAGGTTAGAATGGACCTCTGGAGATGATTTAATCCAACCCTCCTGCCCAAAGCAAGGTCAGTCAGGTAGGGCAAGTTCCTCAGGCTCATGTCCAGCTGAGTTTGAGTGTCTCCAAGGATGGAGACTCCACAACTCTCTGGGCAGCCTGCAGTATTCAATCACCCTCACAGTAAAATGTTTAATAGAACCTCCTGTGTTTCATACCCATTCCTTGGTAAGTTCATGCCCATTTCCTCTTGCCCTGGTGAGTCAGTCTTTTTCCTCTAGTAGGACTTGGCATTTCCCTTTGCTGAATTCCATGAGGCTCCCATTTTTCTGCTTCTCCAGAAACAATGAAATACCTCTGAATGGTGGCAGAGCCATGTGTGCATCAGCCCTTCCTCTGCAACACCTGCAAACCTGCTGAGGGCTCAGCCTGCCCCACTCCAGTCACCAAAGGGGATGTCAAACAGTTCTGTTTCACAGTCAGCCCCTGGAGAACAGCACTTATGGGTAGCCCTCAACTGGACTTCATGCTGCTGACCAGAATCCCCAGAGCCCAGGGGTTCACTCATTTTTCAGTTCACCTCACTGCTCATTTATCTCATCCCTGTCTTGTCAGTTTGTCTATGAGAACATTGTAAGAGACCACAAAAGTCAAGATAAACCACAAGCACTGCTCTTTCCTCATCCACTGAGCCACAGCTACTACATTCCAACTATTAGACTTCAGATATGCTTCTGAAAAGAAATCTGGATTAGAGAGATAGGGAAAAACAGTGATTTTGTGTTGGATTCAGAGAGTTACAAATGAAGAAAATAACCTGAGGCTTAACAAGTCAGCAGACCAGCTTCATGCAGAACAGAATTAACTGTTCTGCATTTTTGAGTAAAATATTGAAGGCAAGTATATTCAAAATAGGGAAATCACAGCTTCATCAAAGGAATGACCTTAAGAAAGCCTAAAGGAGTCAATGACATGAAAGAAAATATTATACATGGCAGAGACTTTCTAAGATCATCTTATAATAGCTCTTCCCTCACATTAACTAGGTGCATCTTATAATAGCTCTTCCCTCACATTAACTAGGTGAAGTGTGATTTAAATAAAATTGGAAAAATTTACATCAATTACATGTTTTTGATAAATATGTTAAACACCAAACACTCTAAATTAATTTGCAGAGTCAATTTGGTTATGGAAAGGATTTTTTTCTGTTTGTCTCCAATATACTCATGTCAGCTGAGAATAGGAAACAACTGTGAAGAGCCCTTTTATCTGTAAATTTACAGATAAAAGGGAAAAGGGGGTCAGAAGAAATTTTAAGAAATATTTTTTTATCATTAACATAAAGAAGAATCTCTCACAGGCAGAAAAATGTGAGGTGAAACTACAAGGACCAGTTGAGATCAGAAATTAGGAAGAAGCTGCAAATGTAGTGGTTATTTTAGAAATGAAAGAAACAGCTAATACTTACCAAATTATCAGTTTCTGGATCTTCACAGAAAAAAGGTTTTCCTTCTTTCTCCTGCTTCCTTACGAAGTTTTCAATATCTACATCAAAACTGGCAGAAGTTGTGCCTTCTGAGCCTTGTGTAGATTGTTCACATTTTTCAAATAATAGTGCTAACAAGGGAAATAGAGGGTGCCTAAAAAAAACACAACAGTTTAAATACATGAGTAAGTATTTTCACTTATGTGCAAATTAAGACATCTAGGTCAGAAAAGCTCACAGTCACAGACAAGTTCTGGAAGAGACTACATATAACAGCATTGGCTAGAGCAAAATAAGATAAAAGTTTATTTTCATTTTGATTTACCCCACTCCAGAGGCAAATAGAGCAGTAAAATATGTATATATTTAATTAAAGAGAACCATCACAAGCAAAAAAGCCCTGACTGTTTAATTCACTGTAATTGAGTGGCACTGAGACAGATTAATACAGTGCACTAGAAATGAGATTTTGGATTTACCAGGAGGATGAATGCAGATTTAAATGAAGCCTGATAAAATTAATTTATTCTTCAATGTGGGCCACACTTACACATCATGAAATAACTTTAAAAAATTGAGAAGAATATTCAGGCTGTGCTCAGAGGCCTCCTCTGAAATCATGCTCTAAGGAGAAGATTTTGTTAGCACAAGTCTGTAAATGAATGGATACATCTTTCTGCCTCAGGTTGAGGTTTTTTTGGTGCTTTGTTTGGCTTTTTCCTGTTTTTGTGGTTGCTTTTTTTTTTTTTTTTTTCCTGAAAACCAGTAATAATTCTGTCTTCATAAAGTAGTTAAGGTGAAAGAACACTTAACCCCATGAAAACTGAGCAAACTGCTTAGCATAGCATTTTCCATTGAAAAAATCTCAAATTAACCGTGCTCATACATCAATATTTAATCAATTTTGAGCTAATTACTGGGGAATAGACTGTTATCCCTAAAGGAAAAGGAGTAAAGATTGACCTAATAACAGTAAAAGTAAAAACTCGTATTGAAGATAAAAACTACAATATGACAAATAGTGACCACAGTTTAAAGGCTAAAGCAACTTTTAGATTTGGCAACCACCCTTAGAATACCTTTTAAAACTGCTGTAATTGAAAAATCCCACAAGCTCAGGAGGTTTTTCCTTGGCTGATGACTGACAGTGAAGCCTATCTGGTCTCATTCTTCCCCTACAAACTACGGAGACAGCCAAGAGACCACCTGATTTTAAGCTACTTATTATTTATTTATTAAAAAACCCCAAATTCTCTACGCTATCCTTCACCCTTCAAAAGACAGAACAGGAGTCCACCACTACCTGTAAATGGCCTGCTTGTCTGCATCCATTGGAGTCTGAGATTCTACAGGGGCAGGACTCACCCCTTCGGCATCAGTTTCAGAGCAGCTGGGATCTTGTTCAGTTTTTAATTCTGTTACCACTTGCATCTGTAGAAAAAAGAGTAAATCTGTAGCCCTGACGTAAAATAAGGGTGCTGTGTTCTAAGGAAAGAGCAGTGCAAAGGGCTCCTAGATTGCCAGAAGGTTGGTGTGACTTGGCAGTGGCACAAGAAGTTGTAGCAGCAACAAAACCCTTCTTTTAATCCCTGACACTTTTTGATGGATAAAGGTCATTTCCAAGTTTTAGCATTTGGCTTTAAAATGGGAATGAGAGATATTAGTAAATTGTTGAAGCATTTTGTCTCTGAAGTGGCTGTTTTTGGAATAGCCTAGAGTACATTGCTCCAAGAAGTTCATGGGAATGTCTGCATAAAAATCCTTTAGGACGAAATCAATGAAAAGAAAAGTTTATGCTCTTAAGATTTCTTTTTAATTTTTTACTGTGCATTGTATAAGGATACTGAAGAACAGGATCTTCTAGGGTTTTTTTTGTCCATTAAAATGCACATTTGCTTAAAAATATCTGAAATATTCTGTGTCCCTCCAGTCCTTAAATTATAGAAGCATAACCTCCCATGACTTTTAGCACTCCTTTTTAGATATTGCAGGAACCAACTATTTTAGGGCTGTCAAACTACAGGAGAACAGCAGTAACTTCTTCAAACTACAGGAGAACAGCAGTAACTCCTTCAAACTACAGGAGAACAGCAGTAACTCCTTCTACACATCCATTTAACCCACATTTACCACATTTATTATACCATGGAAAAGCAGCACAGAGCCACAGTTTCACCTGAACACCTCCTAAATTGCATCAGGAGGCTGGGTACACTTTCGGGGTGCTTTTAAGGTGTTCCAAGTGTTTTTTCCATCACCTCCAGCAAAATATCTTTTGGAGTAAAAGGTCTTTCTGGAACCTGAACTGTGAAAGTCACAGTTTCCAACCCTCAGCCCAAACTTTTTGGTTTTCTCCCATTTGAGTGCCTGCACAAAGACATGAAACCACTGCAAACTTTTCTCTTCATTTTCTTTTTATCTCAGGTAGAGGACAGACACTGTTCTAGGGATCTCCAGGCAGCCAGAATTGACAGCTGTAGAGATGAAGGCCTCCAGAAACTATTAGAGAGCCTGATTTTAACAGAATTGAATTTATTTGCACGTAACAGCAGAAGAAGAATTTATACTATTCTTAACAGTTTGGGAGAACCAAAAGGTTTGTGCTTTATTACCTATTTGGGGCCAAACCATCTCCTAGAAAAATCAGAAACGGAGAAAATTCAGGATCTCCCACCCAACAGAGCAGCCTGCCATGCAGAGAGCTCCTTCAGCAAGCAGAGATGATTTTCAAGCCAGAATGCTTAAAAAAAAAATAGAAACTAATGGACTAATTTCTTGGCTAATGACAGGAAGGAGGAGCAAATTAGAAGGGGATGACTCAGACAAGTGATTATAAATGTTGGCCATACATCTGCATAGTTTGAAGGGAGAGAGTGTGTTCAGTTAGGGTTCTATCGCCCTAGGAGGAGGAAACAGATCACTTAAAACTCCATTTTTTTTTTCTGTGGGCCATTTCCAAACTAGAAAAACAGCAGGCACCCAAATTACCTGTCTACCTTGGACACTGAGAACTTGAAATACACAACAAATAGGAAGAAAAAGCTCTCTACCAATCTGTTCTTTAGGAAAAAACGTATTTTACTTTCACTGCCACAGGATGGTATGTATTTGCTGGGGGAATAAAGTCAAATATGTAAAGTAGGTGAGAGGAGAGAGAGAAATTAGAACTGCAATAAAAGAAACAAACAAAAAACCTAAAACTCAAAAATCTGACTGCATTCAGATGAACATTTTACAGGAGATGTGGGAAGTTGCTGGTTTTTTTCTGACTGCTCCCCATTGTTGCCATCTGCTGACAGAAGTACTTGTAGTTATTGCTTAGGGCTGACACAGAGAGGCCAGCTCACCACTTACCTCCAGTTAACAGCACTTTAATTCAGCAATTTAAAGTGCAAAACTACACAGCATGTTGTACAAAAAAGAAACATGACCAGATATACATGACTATGTTTCATTATTCCAGCTTAAACAGTGACAAGGCACTACGGACAAAGTCACTATTTTTTTTTTCCCTCTTCCTAGGTGTATTTAATTCCTAGAGAAATGAAAACACACCTACCTGTTGTCCATCTTGATAGTTGTCTATACTTAATGTCTGTGTTGCCATCATGGTTATTAAGACATTAATTGTGTCAAATCATCATAAGCATGAATAAATATTCTTTAAAGAAAAACATATAGTTAGTTAAAAAAGTGGCCACTTAGAATCCAGTTCTAAAGGGGGAAGAAAAAATAAAGGTAGAAATTCAGATTTATGCACATCTCTCCGAGAGTTTATTGACAACAAAGGCCACATGCAAATTCAAACAACAAATAAATTCAGTTTGGAAATATAACAGCTTCATTGTCTCTTTATATTTTAAAGTAAAAATTTTAGAGGCTGAGGATTTTTTATACTCACAAGCTCAAGTGAACTTTAGCATCAATTTCTGCACTAGTTCTAAGGTGATAAATGAAATCTAGAAATGGGCAGGTTTGTGTTTCTGTGTTTTTAAAGGGCTCCCAACTCACTGAGCATCACTGTAACTGAAATAATAATAGTTTAAATTTATAAACCAAATGCAAAAGTTAAGGAATACCCTGTTCACTTTTGGGCATGAATCCCAAATTCTAAAGTAGGGCTGAAATTACTTTAAGAGACCAAGCCTCAAATCACTTCTGACATCAGGAATTTGCCATCCAAATCATTTAAGGGAACAATATCTAACATTTTTTAAACAACTGGGCCCATGTGATTATAATGTTTCAAAAGGGACCTAGGAATTCAGAAGTCTTGATTTCGGAGACATTTGATACTTTGGGAAATATTAATTATAATAGGATTTAGATACAAGTAAATGTATCGTGTTATTCTCTCTAGGCATTAGCTGGAGTTTGGTGCCCAGATGAGTTAAACATTTTTAAATTAAGACATACCATAATTAAAAAAAAATAAATTAGCAAAACACCACCACCAGATAGAGTGTACCCAACTTTTTTGTTCACATTATTACTTCACATTTCATTTTCATGTCAGATCTGCAGCCATTACAACTGAAATCATGTAACTCATTAAGCTATTACCAGTAACTATTAACACAGAAGTCAATTTTCCTTGACACATAGGAGTTCTAATGTTTAGCTACTGTTGAAAAAATCCATATTAAAAAAGAGCTCATGTCTTGAAAAACATTATATCCAGGCAATAATTCCAGGCTTTCTGCTCTTTTTCACTTATGACAGTATTGAAGAACTAAGTTTTAAAATTTTCACCACTTTAAGATCTGAAACAGAATATTTTTTATTTTTTTTTTGCAATGTGTTCAATCACTACGAATTTTTCAACTATTTTTAAATCCTTCCCTTATTGCATACTACTAGTGCATATGACAATTTTAAGAGCAATTTTTACATTTCTGGATATTTTCCCCTAGAGATTATAACAGTCTCCAGTGAGTGTTTCATTTTGGAAACACAGGACAAATTTCAAGGTTCCCTACTTTGACAACAGTTTCAGGCACAGGGACAAACCAAACTCCTCAGGAGAAATCTCAAGCCTTACTTTGCATCAAATTCACTCAGTGTAATTCCTAAGTATGAGTGCAATTTTAATTTTTTTTTTTTAAATAGTTTCAAAGACCAGAGAAGTTCACCAAGATGATGTAAGCATGGCTTCCTCCACAAACCAAGCAATATCTATTTTAACTGAACATCAGTATTCTTTCTTTGAAACTCCAAAAACATGACTGATTTCTTCACCAAAATTAAAAATACAAAGTGAACAACTGAAGTGCACTCACTGATAGAAGTACTTCAGATGTTGCATTTCTTTTTTACAGTTACAAATCATTTAGTGTTAAAAGTTAAATCAGCATTTGCCACAATAAGCGAGATACCTCTCAAAATACTTTAAGGGAACACATTCTGTAGCATCAGCTCTGCAAGCATTTGTTTGATGTTTAAATATTTATTTTCTTCCATAAATGGCAGCTGACAGCCAATGCAAGTGCCTGTCTGTATTGATAGAGTGAACAGGCACATAGAAAATGCTGCTTTTCTTCCTTTTCAAAAGACATATATTTAATTTATGACTGTGACATCCAAAGCATGGACCAGACTACCCTCAAAATAAAAGCAGAACAGTTGAAATGACCAACAGAGCAAACACTATTTAATGATTATTTTAAAGCTAAGTCCCACAGAAAATACTGCTAAAGAAATTGTTTAACTGTGGGAGAAAGATTAAATTCTTAGGCAAAAATGAGAAAATAAAACAGTTGTAGAAGAGGAAGAAAGTCTTAAGAGTTCACAAGGACATAAGATCATATTTGTGGCATGAAGAAAAACCTGGAGAGGGAGGCTACAAAGATAATACATGTAAAGTGGTAAAGACAGTAGGACATGGCAAGAATTTTTGGAGAACAAGACAAGTTGGACTAACTCTTCCTTCCAGATTTCCATAACGAAGAGACTTCCACATCTGGAAGGCCCGCAGGCCACACAAAAGAAAAAAGGAGGTGCACAGCTTTGAGCTAGATCCATAGATTATTGCATCTAGAAGGACTTTGACCATATTCTCTCCCAGTGGGATGACTGGAAGGAAATCTACATGAGAATATCCTTTATTTCCCACAAGAGCTTCCCCTCTGACTTATAATTACAGTAGAAAAAGATTAAGCTATTAGACAAGATAGGAACTGATGAGATTTAGTGAAGACAACCACTGCAAATCAAGAAGAACAAATTGAGCTAATCACACACTTAAATTGAGGCAATTAACTGAGGAATTACTTCTCTTCACTAAAAAGAAACATTTGCTCATTACTCAGTAGAGGCAAGAAACAAATTGTGTTAAACTTTAGGAAAAGTAACTGAGAAGGTATTTACAGATTGGGGGTTTATGGCCTCATTTGGGATGCAGCACCCAGGGCTCGTTAGCAGGCACAGCCCCAGCAGATGCTCAGGCTGCAGACAGCGCTGGGGCTGCTATCGCTCCCAGATGTTTATCACTGCCACAGCTAATTACTGCCCCAGCTCCTCCACAGCTCACACAACACCTGGATGCTTTCTGATCCTTTTTACACCCAGTCAGCCAGGCTGCTTCAGGCCTCTCCCTGCTGAAGGTGGCTGTGATGGAAAGCAGCTGACTTGGAATGAAGCGGTTGTGGTGTGCTGGAACAAGCCCTGCTCTTGGCTGACCTACTCGTGTGGTCATTTCTGGCTCGTGTGTGTCCATTCTCAGCTCACAGACCATCTCCAACCAGCACACTCTACCTCAGGACACAGAGTATTTGGCTATCTGAGGTGAACCCAAGAATATATGACTTCAGGACATCTTAGCTTTCAAAATGCCAATTATTTTCTGTGAAAGAAATCGAGAGTTAGAGGGAAAACTGTGTGTTTGTGTTCTATTCAAAGACTTACAAATAACAAAAATAACCTGCTGGTCTGCTTCATGCAGAACAGAACTAACTCTTATTCTATTTCTTTTGAAAGCAAAGTGTGTAGAAAACCCAAGGAAAAACTGAAGGTCATGTAACTGGAAGCTGATGCATGACCTGCAATCAGAAACTCCACTGACACCTGTGGTGAAAGGGAATTCATAAAAGATCACAGTCTACAAAGCAAAGGGGAAAAAAAAAAAAAAGGGAAGCCTTTTATAAAAGGAGATGTGAAGTGAAAATATAAAGCAGAAAGGAAACTAAATGAAGAGGGGTAATCATAATTAGAAATGTGGAGAGTTTGTGCAAGTTGAGTATGTAAGAGAAGAGATTAAACGTGAGCTGAAACATACACACAAAGTGATCACTTAACATTCATCACTCCACTGCTCGCTTGTTCCACTTACTCCTTCATAATTAAGGGCACGGGGACCACCCAGTAACGTTCACAGAGGTACAAGTGAGCTGCTGGAGATCAGTGGTATCATTTTTAACATATACAAGCTACAACAGATGTTCGTAAGAGATATAAATAGTTATGCTCCAGGCTACGACCTAACCACCAACCCTCTTAGGGCTGTGAAGGAACTGCCCAACAGACTTGTTAACAAGTAATCATTCCTCCTAATTTTCCCTCATACATGTTTCTTTGAAGTCCTTCAGAGAGAAATGCTTGACTGGCAGATTTGGCATGGCTCTTTGTTCATTCTTATTTAAGTTTAGTCCTGGTACTTACTCTGTAACATTATATCCTCACATTCACACAAGGTGAAACAAAAATCAACTTTTTGACACATGAAAAGCAACTAGAACTGGCTTCCTTTTCAACACAATATAGGATGATATTTATTTGTTTTCTAAAGACAAAATATTGTCCATGAGAAAGCAGCTCACCCCTTTCCTTCAATGAGTTGAAGACATTATCTTGTTCCAGCACAGAGATCCCACTTATGTGCAAGGTGGAAGACAGAAACCTAAAAATCAACAGAGAAATAGAAGAAAATAACACCTTAGAACACACATTCTAAGACTCAGCTCCATTCTTTTAAATTGTTTTACTATGTGTTTCCTTCATCAAGTGTTAATGAACAGACAGGAATTTTTTGCACGTTTTGCAAATCTTTGCATTGTTAATAATCTCTAATCACACCCATTATCCCACGCTTGAACTTCTTATCCCATTATTTGATCTTTCTGTCATCTTATTCCATTCATTCTCTATATTCACCTTTGTCTCTGCTGACACCTCTAACAGAAGGCTCCATTTGGATAATAACTCTCTCACTGTTCAACCTTCATATTTTACTCCTTGGCTCCGTGTCTGTCTGCCAAGACTAGGCAAGACATATCCCAAAAATAAAACCATGAAATGCAAATAGGAGTAACTCACCACTTTTGTGAAAATTAAGCATGAAATCAAGAAAGGTGAGAGATTTTTTTTCCCCTCCCATTTAAATCTCCTTCATAATCATTTGAATACAATCCATTATAAAATCAAAGCAGATGCTAGAAATGGGCCATGGTTAGGATCCTGTGTTCTGTGAAGACAGGTTTTCCTACAGGATTATTCGGCCATTTTAAAAAGCTTTCAAAAAATTACAGCTTAAAATTACTTTAATTACGTTTAATAGCACCCATATGATACAGTGAAGCTACTTTTAAAAAGTAGTAAGGATTGTGAAAGCAAAGTAGCAAAGATTGTGAAAACAAACGTAGAAAACATAACTGCTGAAAAGCATTAAAAAACCATCTCAGGAGACGTTCCAGACACTAAGGTTGCACAGGGGCCACCAGAAATTAAATGATGGCTAAAACACAGCTGAGATCTTGAATCTGATTATCTCTGTTTCTCACAGAGATTAAGTTCACAATTAGAATAAGAGAGAAAGTAACTCCAACACTTCTGAAAGCAAGATGAAATTGGTCTTTGAATTGGTCTTTAAATTAATTAAAATTTATGCATGTGCTGTTTTCCAAGAAGTGATGGTTTTCAGACAAGTTCACAGAAAAACAAAATGTGAAGGGCCACTCAATCTAGATGCCTTCCCTGGTTCATGAAACCTGGTTCTAACAGAGCAGGGAAGCTATCTGAGGAGTTTTAAGGCAGTTTAAATTTCAGCCATTGGCTAGAAACTGAACACTGAGCAAGAAGGAGTTTCAGCCCAAAGTGATACACCTGGTCTCAATTGAAGGTACAAGGAGCAGATGGCACATTAAAAGTTCTTACCACTTTTCCTTAAACTGCCAAAGATCTGCATATTCAGAAAATGGGCTTCTCTCATTTTTGCAGCTTTTTAATTCAATTCTAAGGACAATGTAACCCTCTTACTCCCTTCTTCACATGCCATGCATTTTGGTACTCATTCTCACTTCAATTTACTGGGCTACTTTCAAATAAAGGACTTCTCACTATTTATGGCATCTTCAGAACAGAGGTCACTGACAGATAAATCAGGATAGATAAATAGATGAATTATCCATTCCTTGTCTCTGCTCAGACATAAGGAGCACTACTGCAAACCTGAAAATCCTGCCCTTGCAAACCTGAAAAATAACTGCAGCCAGGAACTGGTGGGACCACTGCTGCCAGATCTGGTTGGTCCAATATTCAGTGTATGAAGAAGTAGCCCTTGCCTGCAAAGCCTTCAGCTGTAACTCTAGAAACAGCAAATTTCTAGGCAGCTTATGGGATATTGAGGGCAGGAACAAAGAGGTGCTAAAGAAATGCAGGCCTGGGTGAAAGATGCTGCAGAGGGAAGGATGTGGCTAAGGAGCCAGAGGATGCTGCAGTGACAGTGCCCTCTTCAAAGAGACATTGGACAACATTTAATACTGCTAAACCCTGAAAAATATCAGACAAGAGAGATCTGAGCTTGCAGATGATGATGTCTTCTTGCACATTTCAGATACACCTGTTACAGGGTGGAGACAACACCAAGGCACTCTGGAGTCTTAACCTGGACTTGCTATTGCCAATTTTTGTTTTCCTTTAATTCCTCCGGCAGACAAGCTTTAAAGTAATGCCATCGTAATAAAAATACTTAACTACGAAACCAAAACAAAGGGCAACTTGCTTTGTCTCTCAGAAAGTGAATCAGCACTGAGGTTTTAACTACAAAGTAAAACAGGAACTTGTTCATTCAAGCACTGAAGAGCCCTCGTTTGAGTCATCCTCTCATTCTGCATTTCAGGAAGCAAAGACCTGTGAGTACATCCACATGAAGTAATACAAGCAGACGTTAAGATCCATGTATTTTTATAGATTCAAATAATGATAGCAATAATTGATTAAAATAATGAAGCAGCAAGTAGAGCAGATGCCAACATCCAGGATTCACTTCACCTCTGCTGCAGTCCTGACCTGCCCACGCAGAGTCATTCACAGAAATTAAGACAAACAAATCAATATGAAGTTGATACAGACAAGTTTATTAAAACTGTGCTCAATGAGAATGTTCTCCTCGTTCAGCACGAAGGTGGCTTCCATTTCCTCTGTCTCATGTACTTAAAAAGTACAGCCATTATTTAGAATATTATACTTTTAAGAAAGACAATGTTCCTGTTCAGGAACATAATACCAGCCTCAGGGAGTTCCATCACACAGATACAGCCACTCTGTTACTTTACAACAGCTATGCTGTCAATTGCCCTGGGAGTCAAGCCCTAAAAAGCCACAAAACCAATTTTGGGCTGCAGTAAAATGAGATTTATTTTGTGTCACTTTGTTCCCTTTATTGTTTGGTGGTGCAATAGTTATTTATATGTTAATCTTGATGAATATGAGATGACATTAAAAAATGAATGCCAATTATACTTTAAGAAATGGAAAATTAAAATCCACAAGTAAAGTTGAATTTCTGCAGAAATACAGGCTGTGGTCCAAGCTACCATCAACCTTTCTTTACATGTAGGATTTTGAACATGGATGCTAGGTAATAGTGACTTTATTCAGCAAGGCCTCTCCAACAGTGTATCTACTGCTTTGTTGTGCCATTAATCTTTCCTAGCATCCTCTTTTCATATCCCTCCATCTCAGATCTTAACAATCCATACAAAATGTTCACACCAAAGGCCACCTCCCCAGCACCACCACACACTGTCACACAGCATGACCAAGAACAAACCATCTCATTACAAGATTTGTGCTCCTTTAACAACTCATGCTTTGTTTAAACTCTGCTTTTAGTACATTTAGTTGTAGAAATTCTCCTATTAGCAAGTACCAAATTAATATATATATATATATATATATATATATATATATATATATATATATATCTAAATGTGCCACTTTATAAGCTAAAATTGCATATGCTGTTAACTGATAAAATTAAGGATGCATAGACCATAGCAATTCCTCCAGGTATAAAACAGAAATAAAAAACTGAGGGGATCTTGGTCTTGTGAAGAACTCCAGCTCCTAATTCTGCACACATCCTTGGTGTGTACACCAGCTTATTTTTAGGGAAAGGTACAAAATCATGGGTCACATTCCTGATTCCATGTCATCACCAATTTGCCACAGTCCTTCTTGACAAAGACGAGAAAGATGAGGAATTCTATCCAATCCTTCATTCAGAAATGAATGTTTCTGAAGTCAGAAAGTCATAAAATGATGTATCCAGGTATCCTGCCCCCAGGTAGCTCTTGGAATTCTGGAAGGAAATCCTCAGGTTCTCTCCTACCTTCTGCAAAATAGAATCCTCATTCTTCTGACTATGGAAAGGTCCTCAAATTCAAGGAACTTCTTGCAGCATCTCATTTCTCCTACCCAATTCATACTGTAATTTGACTGGGCTTTATTAGCACCATAAAGTAATAGTAAGGAATTTAGGGGACTAAACAGCAATTTTGGCAAGAGAAAAATGAAACCTGGGGGAAAGGAAAACACCCTCTTTAATTGTTCCAAGACTCTTAAGGGATTAGGGTATGAAGGAGCAAAAATATTTCCCATCACTCCCTCATCCACTACCAATATTCACATCATAAATGAAGATTCCTTTTTTTTTTCTGTATTCTTAACACTATAAACAGAAGGACTTTAGGGTCCAGTACAAGAATCCTCACACACACATCATGAATCCTCACACACATTTATTGTTACAGGACAGAGAAGGATTTTTTTGCCCTCATTTTTTACCCAATGTGCTTTCATAACTTGTTGGACACAAAAATCAGAAAGATGCTGTCACATCTGCCTTGCTCTCTCGTGGCAAGAGTGTGGCATTGGGAAGACTCCAAATGCTCTTTACATCCCAGAGGATGTGTATCAGCACTTCCACAACTGGAACTGATCCTGTACAACTCCTGCTTACTGATATTTAATTACCTTATCAAACCAAATTTCAATTAAAAAAAAGACAAAAGTAACTCAATAAACAGGAAAAACAAAAAAAGGATGAGAACTCCACCACCCTCACCATTTCTCTGGCATTGCCCACGTGGACACACAGGGTTGCTTGTGCCCTGGACACAGATCCATCCCTCTGCCACTGAAGCCTTTGGAATATCCACACAAGCACGTCCCAAATTTCTTACTTTTGGAGACACTCATGGAACCATCTCCTTCCAGGCAAATTAAACCAAGGCAACAGGAAATCCTATTTTAATCATGATTTGCATCAGCGCCCAATAAACTATGACTGAAATTAATTTTGTTTTGTGTTTATATTTTGTGGTTTCATAAGGAAGATGCAGAATAACCACCACTCTCTCTGCCTTTATTGCTATTGAATACTTTACAATGTGAGCAGTTTGTGTAAGCGTATGTTATTATTTCCAACATTTTTATTATAAAACCATAAAAGGACCCAATTATTCTATGAAAGGGTGAATTCCTGATGCTATTGAAGTACAACTGAAGGGTGCCTAGGAGTTTTATTTAAATAATAAATGCAACTAAAATTTTAAATTTAAAATGGACTTTGGATGTTGAATGGATAAGAACATGACCTCTACACATTTCTGGCATTTG